GAATTTGGTGCAATTTAATGTCACCTCTGTTAGCCTGAGCAGCTCCCAGTGACCTCCATGCCCTAGTGGTAGCTCTGTCACCTCAGCATTGGAAGGAAAAGGTTTCAGGAGCAGTTTCCCCTCAGCTTTTCCCTGTTGTTTGTGTGTAGCAGCTGAGCAAATAAGGAACAATTGGATTGCCGCCCGGCACAGCCAGAATTGTGTTCACTCTTTTGTAAATTAAGCTTCTTCTTCTCAGTTAAGGCTCACTTCTTAACCATCTCACTGCTGTTCAAGCAGTAAGTTGCATTGCAGGTGACTTTGTTTTCAATATTACATGCAGCCTCTTTCCAAAGGCTATAGACTTGAAAAGATTGGCAGGACCATGGGAAAAAGAGGAGAGGGATTAATTGAATCACACTTTCCAAGAGCCACTTTGGGCTGAATGGCCTCCTACACTATCTGATTCAATAACTTTCTCTGGTCAAAGGGATGCAGTCCCCAAAATAAAGTGCCTTCCAAACTGTCAAGGATGAGATTGATAAGTTTGAGAGCGAAGTGTTATGCAAAGATTTGTGAAGCAAGGTTTCAGGAGGTGGATAATTGAGTCACATTGAGTCTGCAGGAGACACAAAGCAAGCCCTCCACGCTGCTGTTACAGCACACACTCACTTCCTTCCAGTACTCTTCATCTAATCTTCTCTCAACATCTCTACCCAGTCCTCTCTCCTTCATGTGCTGAGTTGGTGTATCTATACCAACCACTTCAACTATTCCCTGTTGTAGTGAGCTCCACATTCTCATCACTCCATTTCTATTCAATTTAACGGTTGGATTTGCAGAATTGCATTTGAAGGGGGAAGGAGTCTGCTCCAAAGTAAATAAAACTTTATCCTGTAAGTAAGTTGTTGGATGACTAGTCTTGTGTGGAGATCCAAATTCTCTGATCTCTCATCTCTTGTTGCAGCATGTTGCTGAATGAATTTATTGGATAGCATTTCTTACTGCCTCTAGGACCAAGGCATAAAATTCTTCTGTCGTGCTGGAATATCTCACTCAGGATAAAGGTGTTCACACAAACATGAGCTGATCAGGGAGTTTATTAAACCTTAGTCATGTCTGATGAATTGAGGTGAACTTTTTGCAGTTTTCTATTTGGGTTTATCTGAGTGTTTATCTGTATGCCTGCCCAGGGCACATTCTGTAAGGTTCCACACAAATGGTAGATCATTGTAGAAATGGCTGGGGTCTCAGCAGTTCCTGGAGAATCAGTGAGAGGCCTATGTGGCTTCTTTCAGGGAAAGGCCGCTCAATCAAATACCAATCAGGCATTGGCGAGGGCACAGGGAAGGAGGGGTTCTATGTGGAGTGAAACAGTGAGAGATGATGACCAGTTAAAGGCTGGCAGCTCATGTAACTGACTGCACCATGATGCAGACTGTGGCTGAGTTTTGGATTATGCCAGGGTCATAAGGGGACCAAAGTATGAGGTGGCAGACTTATGTTTCTGGCAAAGGAGGGCATGTGTGGAGAAGAGAAGGTGTACTACACACTGCCCCTGTCCAATGTCCAGTTCTTCGATCAGGTTTTGATTGCCTTTGATAATGAGTTTCCTCCCTCACCCAGGGTTACAAGCTGCCCACATAATGCTGCACATGGTACTTGGCAATGCCTACTTGCAGCTGGGTTAATCCCATTAGCAGAGGGCTTGAGTCCTTTAGGTGGTTCTTAATTTACCTCCTGCCACTTCAAAGACTTTAATTCTTGCAGTAGTGTGAAGATAGTGGAATTTTTTTAGGGCTAGGGTTAGGGTTGGGACTAGGTTTAGGGTTAGAGTTAGAATTAGTGTTAGACTAGGGTTAGAGTTAGGGTTAGGATTAGAGTTATGGTTAGTTTTAGGGCTAGGGTTAGTTAGGGTTCAGGTTAGGATAGGGTTAGGGTCAGCGTTTGGGTTAGTGTTAAGGTTAGGGTAGGGTTAGTGTCAGCGTTTGGGTTAGTGTTAAGGTTAGGGTAGGGTTAGAGTCAGCGTTTGGGTTAGGGTTAAGGTTAAAGTACAGTTAGGGTTAGCGTTTGGGTTAGGGCTAAGGCTGGCCTGTCTAATTAAATGCCTTTCCCACATCCAAGCTTACCATCTTCAAGAACAGAATATCCCTCCCAGAAGGTATTGGTAAAAGTGCATTAAACGCGGATGGAGCTGAAAACAGCCTCTTGATTGGGATTGAATATTCTTTGGAAACTTAGAAACTAGGAGCAGGAGTAGGCTTTTCGGCCCTTCGAGCCTGCTCCCCCATCCAATATGAGCATGGCTGATCATTCGACACAGTCCCCTGTTCCTGCTTTCTCCCTGTCCCTTTGATCATTTTGGCCCTAAGAACTATATCTAATGGCTTCATAAAAATATTCACTATTTTGGCCTTAACTGCTTTCTGTGACAGAGAATTCCACAGGATGAATAAATTTCTTCTCATCTCAGGCCTAAATATCCTCAGGCCCATATCCTTAGACGGTGACCCCTGGTTCTGGTCACATGGGACATCGAGAACATCCTTCCTGTGTTTACCCTGTCTAGTTCTGTTAGAATGTTATAGATTCCTATGAGATTCCCCCTCATTCTTCCAGTGAACATAATTCTAACCGATCCAATCTCTCTTCATACACCAGTCCTGCCATCCCAGGAATCAACCTTTGTTGCTCTCCCTCCACAGACAGAACATCCTTCCTCTGGTAAGGAGACCAAAACTGTGCTCAGCACTCCCCGATGTGATCTCACTAAGGCCCTGCACAATTGCAGCAAATAGGAAATAGAGAATGGAGATAAAGTGTAGGCATCTTGGGTGCTCCCCAGTGTCTGTACTGAGGCATCAGCTTTTGCAGGAAGGGTTAGAGAGTCTGCATACCTGATGAGTTACTGTAACAGCTGTAGGGAGCGAGACATTGCAAAGTGACCTTGATTAAGTGATTGGACACATTGACAGCTGATGGAGTTTAATCTTATAAACATTGAAATCATCCACTTTGGAACAAGAAAGGTGAATCTGACTATTTTCTCTGTGGTGAGAAATGTAGAGGAACAAAAAAAGTTCAAATACAGGAATAACTTAAAGCCAAACAAAATCAAGATGTCTTTTGGAATGTGGACCTTTATGTCAATGGGACAGATGTATAAAGAGGAGGGAATGATCTCAGTTATAGAGGGATTTGGCCAGATTCCACCTAAAGTGTTGTAGTCAGTTTTTGGTGCTGGATACAATGGGCTCTGAAGCAAAGTGAACTGATTCATCAGGTTGATATTTGTACTAAAAGGGATTACACTGTGGGGAGAAAGTTCAGTTGTGTGGACTGAATTCTCTTGAACTTAGACAATTGAGGACTAAGCCAATTGAGATGCTGAAAGGATTTGATATCATAGATAGAAAGGAAGTTGTGGAGAAGTCAGGAAGAAGAGGGCTAATCTTCAAATGAGAGCTAGCCCCTTGGGTGAGTGAAAACAGAAATCATTGCACCACAGAAAAGCTATTAGTATTGAGTGATTTCGGGTAATCGTATCATGGGAGATGGCTCAATAAATTGAGCTGAGTTAGGTCTTATCGAATGACCCGGGAACCACAGAAGAAGAAAACACATTGGTTGTCTTATACCTGAAGTTGAGTGAAGATCATTCCATTTACCTTCAAAAAACAATATTTGACAATTGAGTGGTATTGTTGAAAGACAGAGCTGTGGCTCAGACTTTACATGACTACATAAACCTAGGGAATAAAGTTTGAGATGTTTTTGATTTTTAACATTAGGTAGTTGGGTAAATGAGGTAGCTGATCAGGATTTGCCTCGGTTCCTCATTGGTTTATGAATGCACCAATACATAGGCCGTTCTGCCCATCAAGCCCACCCCACCACTCAATGAGATCATCATTGGTCTGTTTGTGGTCTGAATTTCATATGCCCATCTATCCCCGATTGCCTTCGATTCCTTTCCCTAACAAGAATCCATGTTTTTCTAAGTAACACTCCTATTTTACAAACCCTCCATAAAAATGTATTCCTTTGTCACAGTTCTTGACCATCTCCCCTTCTCTTGGTGTATGAGTACTTACCTGTGAAGGACCGTTTGAACATTTTCCTTCTGGAATATTATGAAGAGAACTAGGAGGCTAAGGCTTGGGACAAAGCAGGTACGTGGGCCAGAGACGGGGAGGAATTTCATTGATCAGAAGATTGTGAATATTTGCTCTTGCATAAATGCAAAATGTTCTTGTTCTAGAAGAGAAGACAGAGGAGGCACCAGACTGCCCAGCCTGGAAGTGTATTGTCTGGAAACACCACTTCTCCAAGAATATTTTGAACAAGCATTCCATGGATATCACCAGTAACACTGCAGTGTAGAATCTTGGGAACAGAAGCATGGAATATCCAATATTGAGATAATTAAACAATTGTTATTATTGCTTTATAATGAGTTCTCACTGTTTTATGTGCCTGGTAAATATTTAAAACTGCAGTGCTTTCCAGATCAGTTGTAGTTAGACATTCTGACATCATTCTAAAATCCAGAAAGTTTCAAAATCCACAGCTGATTTGGATCCAAGGCTTGTGCTCTGCAGAGAGCAGAGTGTAAAAGGTAAAATGATTAGAGATGGAGAAGACATTCCTACTTCTAAACAAGGGATGAAGAAAGGAATAGGAGGATGTGTATTAGAGTTAGAGTAAACAAAGTGGCAGGAGAATGGTGTTGCACATAATTACCAGCACAGAGCTGTCATTGTATGTGGGCAAGACTAAATTAAAATTCAGCTCTGTGAGCAAATGAGAACTTTATCCTGCTAATCCGACACTGTGGAACTAGACAAAGGATCTGAGCTGTTGCACATTGTGAACTAAAACCAACATCCAGACACCAACTCCAAACAACAGGGAGACACAGAGAAATTTAATGCAAAGAGAAAGCTCAGCGTGAAGAACATTATTGAATGTCAGCAAGGCAGACTTCAGCCCTTGTTTCAAGTTCAGATTCCAGTAACAGTTTATTTCCACAGGGAAGAAAATAAATTACAGTTTCACAAGATACACTGATAATAAAACACACACACACACACTCACGCATACACATACATACATGCGCACACGCACACACACAAGTCAGTATGAAAATGATCTGTGAAAGTACTCCCGACACACAGAGTTCTGCGTTTTAATGGAAGAGAAATCTGTACACTACAGCAGGTAAGTTTGGGACATATCCACCATGGTGAACCTGACTAATCGAACCTATCCATCAGCACAACAAAGGTGTCAGACTGTTGATCATCTCCATTGAATGTAACAGTATAGATACAGCATATACATAAAGTTCTTCTTCATTGAAAGAAATAAGACTAACATATAAGTCATAAATTATACATTGCTCAAGGTTTGCTGTCCAGCTTGTGCCATCAAAGGTCCATCAAGCCAGGCACCGAATGAGCAAGACTCTTGGGCTGGTCTCCCTTGATGTTAGGCTGCTTCCTCCAGCTCTTAGCATACAGTGCCGTTTTCTGGTCTCGATTTCGGGTAGCTCGTCCTGGGGACGGTTTGGACAGATGGTGCCAGCGTGCAGAAGAAACCAGCAATGAGTGTCAACCCGAGACCTCCCCAGGCGCAGAACATGGACCAGCCGTAGCCATGACTGATGTCGTCAGGGAGACCGTACAGGTATCTGGGGTAGCGGGAGAGTTCAAAGTTAATTCCAGCGACACAGGTACACAATGAGATGATGCAAAATGTCCCTGCAGCAAAGAAAAACACACAAAAACAAGAGTATTCGATTAGAACTGGGCAGTTAGGTATGGGGATTGGGAAACAAAATACACATCGACTGGTTCTGGTCCACCCATGTTAACGCAATGATCAAGAAAGCACAATAACGTCTCTACTTCCTCAAGGAGCTATGGAAATTCGGCATGTCCACAAGGACTGTTCCCAATTTTTACTGATGCCCCATAGAAAGCATCCTATCTGGAATGCATCACAGCTTGGTATGGCAACTGCTCTGCCCAAGACCACAAGAAACTACAGAGAGTTGTGACTACAGCCCAGTCCATCACGAAAACCAACGTTCCATCCACTGACTCCATCTATACTTCCCACTGCCTCAGGAAAGCAACCAACATCATCAAAGATTCCTCCCACCCCAGTTATACTCTTGTCGACCCCTTCCAGAAGATACAAAATTTTGAAAATATGTACCGACAGATTCAAGAACAGCTTCCTCCCTGCTGTTATCAGACTTATGAACAGACCTCTTGTTTATTAGACTTGATCTTTCTCTGTACCTTCTCTGTAGCTATGACACTATATTCTGCATTCTGTTCTATTAGCCTGATGCACTTACGTAAGGTATGATTTGTCTGGATAGCATGCAGAACAATACTTTTCACTGTATCTCAGTACATGTGACAATAATCAATCAAATCAAATCAAATCTATTCAATGCAGCAACAGAATGTTCCAGAAGTGGGACATTTTAAGAGTCAGCATTGACCTAGTGTGCAGCAATAATTCATTCAGAGATTTCAATGGGCAATCCCACCCAGGGTATCATCACTATCCTGTTCAGCCTTTGTGCTTTACCATATTTCCATCTGACTTTACTCTGCACACTGCCTCCTCCTGAAATCTTTCCCCTCGGGAGACTGTGCTATCAGGCTGCTCCAGAGTCTAATACAGCTCACTCGAGACAGCCTTATCCCTGGAAGTGAGTTCAATCATGAGAAGACATCACTAGAGAATAAAAAAGAAACCTCTTAACAGTAGAAGTGGAAATGCTTCTGACTATTCCCCTGAGCAGTTTACACATTTAAGCTTGTTCAACAACCAGATACCGACTTTCATTCACTCCTGGAAGAGCTTGTAACATCTTCATGTTCATTAACTTCTGCCTCAGCCAAGCAGCACAGGCTTAACATTGACTGGATACATTCAATGCCTCCCAGTTGACCAAATCTGTTTCCTTCCTGTGATTTTGAACGCAGCCATGTCCATCTGGGAAGAATTTAGTGTCAGTATGTTTGAGAATGCACCTGACACAAAAACTGCAGGCTCCCATTTCTGACAATGTGAGTGTTACCTTTAAATTACGTAAAACCATGAAGAATATAAAAATTTTCCAAACTTTCTTTTGGCTGGCAATGGTGACATATCATCACTAATTACAAATCAGTAATCTTGTAGTACATAGTATCAGCACCAGTGTGAACCCAGTGTTACACAGCGACAGACCTGTCCCCACCTGTACTGTACCCC